CAGGAGACAATTCAGACCTGTGTATAATGACATTTCCAGAGTGCACATGGGCTTTTGAGCAACGTGTACAAAGAAAATCTAGTGATGCACAGAAGAGTGAAACCAAGGGGGTGTGAATTGAAGCTGTGGTGCGACCCAGCAGCTGCTGCTACCGCTGGTCAGCACAAAAACCTCCCCAGGAACCTGAGACGTGGGTGTGCTGCCCTCTTCCTATTCCTGAGACACTGAGGCTTGGAGGAGCTGTGACTCATGGCACCACAGCCCTCTGAGGACTTTCCCAACCGCCCTGTACGATGCTTTTTACCACTTTCTTGGGAAGCAGGCGCTGGGGACAGAACTTGAAACACTCCCACAGAGAAGTCTCGCCTCGTTTTGTTTCGTTTGACAAATTGTATTGCCACAATGGACACTTGGGGTATTTCTAGTTGAGGATCTCAGTATTTGTTCCTCAGAGCCTTGTGAGACTTTTTCTCCCCTACTAACGTATGGGAGAAGAAAAATCCCTGTTCTTTGCATCTATTTTAGCTGTGTTGACCACGGGAGCCACTGTTACGGTGGGTCTTGCCTGTGTGTTCCTTTAGGTTTTGTGTGGTTTTTTTTTGCCTAGGGCGACGTGTCACTAGGCGGCAACACTTTTTATTTCGGCGCCTCCGCGCGGGCTGAGGCAGTGCCGGCCGCCGCCACGCCTACGCTGAGGCGGAGTGGGGGGAGGAGGAGGGGTGTGCGCATGCGCGTGGTGCGGGCGCGGGGGGCTGCTGGCGCCGCAGGTGAGAGGGAGCGCGCACCCCAACGGCTGGGGGGGGCGGTTGGGGCGTGAGGGGGGAGCGCGCGTCCGCGGGGGGGCAGATACCCACATATACCCACATATATCCACGTAAATCCACATATATCCACATATATCCACATAAATCCACATTTACCTGTATATATGTGATTATACGTGCCTATATATGCATATACGCGTATATATGTGCGTATATCTGTGTAGGTGCGCGGGGAGTGAGTGCTGTGGAGGGGCGCAGCCCTTCGCCCCCTCAGTGCCAGCTGTCCCCCTTTGGGTTTATTTAACACGCGTCTGGCTTTCAGCTGCCCGTTCCGGCAGGGCAGATAAGCAGCAGCGATACCAAAGCTGCCCCTGCACCAAGGCCTTCCGTGGTTTCCTCATAAAACTTCAGAGGCAGACCCCTGGGAATGAGCCTGTTGTGGGGCTCCCCCAGCCCTGGCTGAAGGGGAAATGCACAAAAGGCACGGGTGGCTTTGGTTCCTGGCCTGCCGGCTCGTACGCCTTTGGTGCATCGCCCTGTCTGCCTCGGAAGTTGTTTCCAGAGGCTGGTGTCGCCGCCGTAACAAGATGTGGGGCCATAAAGGTTGGGGCTGTAGGGATTCGACCTGTAGTTGTTTGACCTGTAGTTATGGGGAGCCTTGACGTTTTTTGGGCAGCGTACAGACTCGTTGTTCTGTGCCCTTTTTTGCCTTGGCTTCTCAGTTTGTATTGTATGGGGTATGTACGCAGCAGCGGACGGCTTGAGAGGTCTTGTGAGAGGTTTGCTTCTAATTATAGGAACCTTATTCATGATGGTTCAAAGGCAAGCTTACGGGAATGTCAGAAGTTTCCTTCACGTCTTCAGTGTGATTTCATTAGAATTAGTAGACAGGATGTCCTGCTTAGAAGCACCTCCAAAAAGCGGTCTGTTTAGAAAAAAAAAGCAGTGCAGTTAGATCTCTGTCTAGCTTAAGGTTTCAGTCAGTGATGCAGGGTAACGCCCTCTCTGATCTAAATTTATACGTCATCTAGAACTCTACAAATACCCTTTCTCTACATTTTTGACATTGAGTACTGAGTTGCATACATACACTTAAAATACTTCAAGCCTGCTGGACAAAAAGAAAGAGAAGATTAAATTAAAACAGCAAGCATACACACACATAACTGCAGTTTTCAGCAGGAGAAAGTACTTTGTCTGAACGATTATTTTTTAACCCTTTGAAAATGTAAACTGGTAGTTAATTAACATACTATTTTTGAAGCAAAATGCTAATGAAAATACAAGGTATCTCTGCTCATTGTAAAACAATATCTATTACTTTGTGGCAGAACCCATAGAACTCAGCTTAATTTGTCATAATAATCAATTGCTGAAATTCCAGGTTGTGTCTGTTCTGCTGAAGTTGGTTGGTGTTGCTGCTTTGCTGGGGTGAATGAGAAATTGCATTTCTGGTGAGCTGAGTCATGCCAGATGTCACTGGTTTTTGCCACTTTATTTTCATTTTGAAAGGTAAACGACTCAGGAATCACTGTTGTTGGAGTTGTGCTAGGGAAAAAATAAATCACCATGCCAGTTAGAGTTTTGTAGAGCCCTTACAGCTTGCAAGTGGAGACTAGAAACATGTTTTACCCTTGTCAACTCAGGACAGATTCCTGATAGTCCTGACATGACTTTACGCAAAATATTTTTTCATTGTGTATGATAAAACCTAATAAGCATTAAAAATAGGGAGATCTTTAAAAAGTTGCTGAAGTTTTATATATACATCATGGGAGTGGGATGCCTAATAATAATAGCTTAATAGACCTTATTTTAAAAATTTACTGGAAAAATTACTGAAAACGTTTTTGTTTTAAATTATTTGTGTGGTGTACAGTATGCTACTCCAGACTATCATCTAACCTTGAGTCTTAACCAAAAGAATAAAATCTGGGCCTTCCATCATAGCTAATATCTTGTGGAAGTAATTCTCTGTTTTCCTCACCACAAACTTCTATTGCAGTGTAAAAAAAATAATAATAATAAATGTAAAAGAGCATGAAATTGGACAGTCAGTGTTGTTGTCATGCTTGCATAGCAGCTGCGTAGTAAGAGCTTCCCTAGGTATCAAAATGAGTAGAAAGATTGATACTGCTGTGTCTTAGTCAGAGATAAGTGATCCATGTCCATTAAGCTGGAAAAAGTTAACTTGAGTTTACTTGCTACCAAAATGCAGTAAAAATCTGATATAGCATTAGATTTCATACCCAGAGGATGGTACTAATTTGAAGTCCAGTTATTTTCAGTCCACTTATTTTCAGAAGGAGAAGTACAGAAAACTTATAAATATCTGTTCTGATATTCTGTGATACTAACTTGGTTACAGCTGGGAGAAGAAGGGGAGGTGGCAGTGCAATTTTAGTTCCTATATCATTTTTTTAAGACATATTTTTCTCTAAAGTTTTGTTGTTATTGTTGTTGTTTTTCCCGGTTCTTACGTTTCGGGCAGGGGTGGAGGGTTGTGAAAATAGCAGGGTGAAATGATTAACATGGGACAGGTAAACATTAAACATCATAATGTAGTTTAATCAGCTACTTTACAAGCTGGAAAAGTTAATGGGAGGAAATGTCTTGTTACAGTAACTGTTGATGTTGCTAGTAAAAATAGTCAGTCACTTCCTGGGAAATGTTAATTCTCAGGAACCCTTTAAAATAATAATAATAAGGACAATGATAATCAAGGTGATCTGGAGTTCTGATTATTATTAACTTACAATTACTATTATTATCCTTACTATCTCCCAAAGTTGTGTGTAATCTAATGTTGTATTATTTAATATCGTGATGTACTTTGGCCTGCAAAATAGTATGGAAGGGATTAAAGGGATTATGAGTCAATATTTAACTCACTTTGCTTCACCAAAGTGTTTTTAACAGATACGTAAACTGACTTGACCAAAACCTTTTCTTTTTTTTTTTTTTTTTTTGTTACTGGAGTCTGTCAGTGGATGTAGCTCTTACTAGTTTGTTCCTTTGTGTGTTTTTGAATAGTTTTTTTTTTTTCATAACTTACTAAGGCACCAATAATTTTTTTACATAAAAGTTTCCATTTGAACAGGGAAAGCCATTCTGCTACTTAGAATCACAGAACCATCTGGGTTGGAAAAGACCTTCAGTTCTTTTCTTGATGCACCACCAAGTCCAACCATCAACTTGACCTACTGTGTCCTAGCACTAAGCCATGTCCCTTAGTGCTTCATCCACGTGCCTGCTAAATACCTCCAGGGATGGGAGCTCCACCGCTTCCCTGGGCAGCCTGTTCCAGTGCTTGACCACACTCTGCATGAAGAAAGTCCTCCCAATGTCTAATCTAAATCTCCGCTGGTGTAACTCAAGGCTGTTTCCTTGCATATCATAACTTCTCACCTGACAAAAGAGACTAACACTCTCCTAACTGTGGCCTCTTTTCAGGTAGCTGTAGAAAGCAACGAGGTCTCCCCTGAGCTTCCTCCAGACTAAACACCCCCAGTTCCCTCAGCCAGAGGTAACCCCATTTACTACAACCCTCTGAGCCAGAGTAGTTTTGAATGTTGTGTGGTTGGACTTGGCCCATTGATCCAGCCTACCCAGATCCCCCTGGTTATAAATGAAGTCTCAACTCAATCTGAATTTAGTAATATTTATAAAAGGCAAGTAAACAGCGCTGGGTGCGCGGGGAGTCTACGCTCTACCAACACGCACACACCAACATCGAACTTTCTAAATATACAGAACATGGCTTTTACACAGTAAGCCCGAGTACGCCTATACATATGTACAATCAGAAAAGGTATCAATTGAAACATAAACATGGCAAAACTTTAAAAGGCAAGTGTTTAACAAACAATCCTTTAAGTGTATTACTATTAATGACCACAACTGGGGGAGCACAGTTGGAGTTGGCAACCCTGGTTGAAGTGCTCCCATATGTCCCATGATTTGGCCGATGATGTAGCAGAAGGATCAGTGGACGAGCCTGCAGCTCCCTCACTGTCTGGCAAACCACACGTGTCTGACTGTGGTCCCACACGGCTCTTTAAGGCCTCAGAGACTGCTCGCCAGGTGCCGAGCAATCCCACTGCAACCTTGTCGTTTTTAGTTGCAGAGTCCCACGCCTTGACCTCAGTTTGGTCCCATATTTCAGGATCATAAACTGTCTGATTGTTAAGAAGGAGAATAAGCCATAAGGTTACCAGGACAGTCTTTGTTTCTAAGGACGTATGATTCCATAATGCGCAACTGCTTACCAGCGAGGGGCAGTTGTGTGCACGGCTCCGCTTCTCTCAGTGTGAGCTTCTCTGCAGCTCCGGTGCGCCCATTTCCAGCGACTTTTGGTACAAGCTTCTCTGAGGGGTTCACTGAGTTTGGCCAAACATGTCTTCATGAGGCGATCAATGTCCCTGTCCCTTTCTACTTCTTTATTGATGACATAACTTCATTATACCATGTTGCATTCTCATCAGAATGCAACATGACATGACAGGCTCCCCTCTTACACCCTTCTCCCCACAGCAGTCCTTTTCCACAGCAGTCCTTTTCCAATAACTTCTCGTTGGTCTAACAACTTGGCCCGGCAACAGCAAACACCCAGAAACTTCCATGCCTTAATGGCTGGAGAACAAGCAACCTGAGACTGCCCCTCTAAACTCTTTACATTCCTGATGGCCTCATCGTTAAGAGTCTGATGTTATCACCAACCACAGCGTTTGCCGACCCCCATGGCCACACTCCCACATCTCCCCCTTCTTTATTAACATCAACCATCTTCTTGACACGAATTGTTACTCCATATATCACACCCTGCAAAACCTTCCTACACTCAAGCAGATTGACAGTCCCACCTAACGTGTTGTCCACAAACTTGCTGAGGGTGCACTCCGTCCCCTCCTCCAAGTGTTTGATAAAGATGTTAAACAAAACCATTCCCAGGACCCCTGGGGAATGCTGATGGTGACCAGCCACCATTCACCATGACTAATCCCAGCCAGTTCTTCAGCCAGTGACCTGTGACCTGTTATTTAAGCCACCAGCAGCCAGTTTCTCCAGGAGAATTCTGTGGGAAACAGTGTCAAATGCTTTACTAAAACCCAAGTAGATAGCATCCACAGCCTGTCCCTCATCTACTAAGTGGGTCACCTTGTGACAGGAGGAGATCAGGTTAGTCAGGCAGGACCTGTCTTCCATAAACCCATGCAGCCTGCATTCCTTACCAAGTGGTGCATGAGATGGAGTTGAAGATGATCTGCTCCATAGCCTTCCCCAGTACCCAGGTCGGATTGACATGGGTGTAGTTCCCTGGATCCTCCTTCCTCCCCTTGTGGATTGGAGTCTCATCTGCTAGCCTCCAGTGAACTGTGACCTCCCCAGTCAGCCAGCACTGCTGGTAAGTTACTGAGAGTGGCTTGGCGAGCACTTCCACCAGCTGCTTTACTACGCTTGTGTGAAGCCCCATAGTCCTGTGAACGTTCAAATGATATAATATGTCACCCACAGTTCATCATATTATAGGTGCTTTGTCTCCCTCCCTACCACTGACTTCCAAGTCTGGGGCTGGATACCCTGGGAATAATTTTTTGCAAATAAAGACAGGCAAAAAAGACATTAAGTATGTCAGCATTATTCTCATCTTTCATCCCTATGTTCCCCCTCACATCCAGTAAGATTCTCCTTAATCCCCCATTTGCAATTGAAGTATTTTAAAAAGCATTTTTTGTTATCTTTCACTGCACTAGCCAAACAGAGTTCCAGTTGGGCTTTGGCACTTCCAATTTTATATCTGCACAACTTGACAATAGCTCTGTAGTCTTCCTGCATTGCCTGCCCCTTCTTCCAAAGGTTAATTACAATTGAAGTCACTAATACTTAAATATTGCTTATGTAGAATATGTGAATTATTTATAAGGTATTAAAATTGTGACATTTAGATTTTTTAAAAAATGTACTTCCAAAAATCTTCTAATTATAGGTACTGTAAGCTATTAGTTGTCTGTTATCAATGGGTGAGATATGCGCCTACAGTTCTGGGCTGCAATTACTTATGCTTTTCACTAAGCACACCATATACTTGCTATAAAGATTATTATTAATATGTTGTTTTTTTTTTGTTTTTTTTTGTTTTTTTTTCAGGAACTGTATTTCAAGAATCTTTCAAAACAGAAACAAAAAGAAGTCATGGAGAAGAATGGAAACAACCACAAACTACGTGTCTGTGTTGCTACTTGCAACCGTGCTGATTATTCAAAATTAGCTCCCATTATGTTTGGCATTAAGGCAGAACCACAGTTCTTTGAGCTTGACGTTGTAGTGCTTGGTTCCCACCTGATTGATGATTATGGGTAAGGTGGATTTTTGTACCTCTCCCAATCTGTTTCTGCTGTGTTGGCAATAACATCACAAATGCTGGGTCACAAACTACTTGTCATCATGAATGCACATAACAACAACATTTTTAAATATAAATTTTCAGACATTTCAAGTACTTTTTATTTCATTTCCCAGCTCCTTTTGAGATTGCATATTTTTTTCAAACCAGCTTAGTAAATGCTGTAGCTGAAGTTTTCAGCCAAATCATAGAATTTCTCATGAAGTGAGAAATTCATTCAAATTTCCCTCAGAATCTGATGATTATCAAACAACAGTGTGTTACAGTTTTGAATTTTCACAGCGAAAAGATAGTCTGCAGTCATTCGAAGCTGAAGCTCTTCCAGTTTGCATATTTACTGATTAAAGTCTTTATATATTTGGTATCACAGTTGAATACTGTTAAGTTTTCACATCCAGGATTGCAGGGAAAGAAAGGGAGAGGTCATTTTACTCTGACGAAATGAGTAGCTAATAGGTATATTACGTATGGTTTGGCAAGGGAGATGAGGGTCCCCTCCATAACACCCTGTATGTAAGCAGTCAGATCACCTTCATGGGAAAATGGAATGTCTTGTTCTGGATCCCTTCCTTTGGAAGGACTTCCTGTATCCCAGGTGAGTATATGCTTTGCTGAGGGAATGGAGAAAAGCAGAAAGAAAAGCATGTTTATTGCTGAGGTTGGTTTCTGCTTTTCTCTGCGTGCATTTATCAGATTGAGCTCAGTTAAATGAAATTGATAGGAAAACACTTTGCAAGACAAAGGTAGATGTTAGCATAAGGGCCTCAGCATGCCAGCATCACTAAACTTTTAGAAATGCTATGCATATCTTCAAGTAAAGACACATTTTGGACTTGCGATTTTCTGTGAGACTGTGGGAAGTTCTGTTACCTGAAGCTGCTAAGGAGTGAAGTTCCACCACTGTACATTCTCAGCCTTATGCTCTCTGCTTTATACTGGCCATTGTTTTCATGCAGTAACATGGCAAGGTGTACATGTATTCAACACTGTAAAACTAACCTGATTTAAAAAAAATAATTAAAAAAAAACTTTTTTCTGTTAGATGATAGCAGCAAGGTATTTTACTTGAACATAGAGTCCTCAGCTTTGCATTGTCTCTTGTATTTATACATTTGTCCGTTTTGTATTTATACATTTGTTGTTTGCCTAGCGAAGGATACGCAGGCCTTTGTTCAAGCATAGCACTGTTACAGTTTTCTAGTATGCAATTATTCTGTCAAGCTGTGTTGCTGTAAAACCAAGTTGCATTTCCTCTAACCCTTTTTCTCTTATCTTCAGGAACACCTATCGCATGATTGAACAGGATGACTTTGATATTCATACAAGACTGCACACTATTGTGAGAGGGGAGGATGAGGCAGCCATGGTAGAGTCAGTGGGCCTGGCGTTAGTGAAGTTACCAGATGTCCTGAATCGCCTGAAACCTGACATAATGATCGTTCACGGTGACAGATTTGATGCTTTGGCACTAGCCACATCTGCAGCCCTGATGAATATCCGCATTCTTCACATTGAAGGCGGGGAAGTCAGTGGGACCATTGATGACTCTATTAGGCACGCTATCACCAAACTGGCCCACTACCATGTGTGCTGCACCAGGAGTGCGGAGCAGCATTTGATAGCCATGTGTGAGGACCACGACCGCATCCTTTTAGCGGGCTGTCCCTCGTATGACAAGCTCCTCTCTGCCAAAAATAAAGACTACATGAGTGTTATACGTGTGTGGCTAGGTAAGCAGTCCACTTCTTAATGTTATTCCTGTGACTTCAGACAAACTCTGACTGGGTTATTAATCTGTGGTCCACAGGGACTTGGGGATCTGTTGACCAGTGGCTTTGAGTAGAGTACAGGAAGCAACAGGCAGGCTTGTTGCTAGCAGGTTTTAGTTTATTTAATTGGGTATTATTATGAACGTGTTTCCACACAAACAAACAAAACAAAAAACACAGACAACAACAACAAAAAAACAGTATGTTTGCTCCCTGTATCAAGTATTGCTACAAATCTGTCTTAGCAAATACATCTGATCCTTTTACAAAGTCAAAAAAAAAACCCTTCCTTAAATTGATTACTTCTTTGATATGAACAATTTAAAAATAGACTTTTTCCTATGTGAACAGTTATGATGGTATAAAGGATGTATCAAAAGAGAATCTGAGCTATTTAAGACTAATTACAGAAAAAAAAAATCAAAGGGATTTTATATTTTGAATATTCTTTTGAGGAATTCACTGTAACAGGGCCATTCGTGTTAATTTGCTTAAAAGTAATTTTGGTAAATAGTGGAGTTTTGTGTTTGCTTTTTGTGTTTGACAAAGCAATGTCCTATCTGGCACAATAACTTGTGTACTTAGAAGGTAGAATCTTACTAGATCAGCAGGTGAATATGTAGCAGATAAATTGTTTAACAAATGTACTAAAACAAGTACGGCTTTCACATTTTTAAAGCAATGGGAATAAAGTCTTTGCCTGATGATGAAGAACTGACAGAAAACTTGAGTAATGAGTGATAATGAGAATTCTGTACTGCTGTAAGAATGATCATACCTGTCCACCTGCTGTTGTGAAACAGCACTGCAGGACATTATTTTCTCAAAGCCATTAGTGAAAGTTAAGAGCTGCTCCAGGGCTTTCATGTTATTCCAGATTTAGAGTGATGTCATAACAGGCTCTCCACTCTGTCGTGGTCTTTTGCAATGCTTTAGATCGAGGCCTGCATGTTAACAGTGTATTGGGTTTTAGAGAAAGGTGAAAATTATGAGTTTTACTTAGAGAAGCAAGTAACAAGCTAAACCCTCCTGTTACCCCTCAAGTTTTATTGTAGCACTGAAATTTACATGTAAGATATCCCGTTCAGTGCCTTGACTGTGGAGGCTTTTGTGTCAGTAGTTTCAGAACTGTCGTCTCTTCTTCATACTATTCTTTACCAATTAAAAAAAAAAAACAATCAAAAAACAAAACTACAACAAAAAATAACAAACAAACATAACCTTTTATTCTTTTTCCATTTGAACAGGTGAAGATGTCAAACCCAGAGATTATATAGTTGCTTTGCAACATCCTGTAACCACGGACATTAAACATTCCATAAAGATGTTTGAGCTGACTCTAGATGCACTCATCTCCTTCAACAAGAGAACACTTGTTCTGTTCCCCAACGTGGATGCAGGTGAGTAAAACGCCTGCATGACAGAAGGACAGAGAATAGATAGTATGTAAAGCATATACTGGTTCTTACAGAGTGTTTTTATCCCAGAACCTCCAGCAGGATGGAGCTGGACGATTTCAGCATCAGGCTTGCATCCACTGCAACTCTATGTCCACAGTGCTGGAGAACATCTTCTCCACATTCAGGAAGAAGATGAAGGGAAACCATGTGACATGCAGAAGCAACATTCAATGCCTCCTTCACTAATTAAAATATTACAGGAAGGCTTTTTATAGTGGATTTTGGGATCACACTTAGGCTTTTATGCCTGAAAGGGAACAAAAACAGCTCTGAGGTGACAATTCAACTGACTGCTTTCAGCTCCTTTGCGTGTTGAGGCTTTCAGCAGAGCAGCAGAACTTGAATCATTTATTTGTGCCTTTTGTTTTTCTGTAGGAAGCAAAGAGATGGTTCGGGTGATGAGGAAGAAGGGCATTGAACATCATCCCAATTTTCGGGCAGTGAAGCATGTCCCGTTTGACCAGTTCATTCAGCTAGTCGCTCATGCTGGCTGTATGATTGGCAACAGCAGTTGTGGTGTCAGAGAGGTGGGAGCATTTGGTACACCTGTTATCAACCTGGGGACGCGTCAGACAGGAAGAGAAACAGGTTTGTGTTTTATAACTACAGGTTTGTGTTTTATAGTTACATAACTACTTTAATTTCTTTATATTTCTGTTTCGTTTTGATTTTTTTTTGTTGTTCTATGGAATAAAGTAAACCAAATGTTTTACAGAGACCATCCTGCAGTATCGGTGCAAAATAATTTTTGACCTATTCTAAAACTTTGCTTGCTATTCCTGTACCATGTTAGTGATGTTTGTATGTTTTGCTTAAAATAATTAGGCTTTTGACTGTGGACAAGTTAAAATATATCTCCATTTGGAGTGTAGCAGAATAGGCAACTTTTTTTTTTCTTTAGTTCAGTGTTTTGTGTGCATACAATTTTCACTGTAAAAACAGGAACTCATCACTACTTCAGGAATTAACTGTATTGTGGTATTTCAGTGACACAGATATGGCACAAACAGCTATTTGCCTCCCTCTTTTCATCAGTGCTCTTTTAATTTAATAGTAGTATTCTGTTGAAAGGTACTTTACTCTCCAGTGTTTTGTAAGGCATGACAGCATCCTATAGGAGTCAGTGTTGCTTCACTGGGAGCAAGGGCAGGCACAGAAAGGTTGAAGAGTAGTGTTCATTTGGCTGCAGTCTTTCCTGCTCATAGTAAACAAAAATAATTATACATACTCATCTCTAAAGCAATTTCTAAATTGATCTCTTCTTATGCTCTAACATCTTAAAAGTAGCTGACCTGTCCTATTTTGTTAACTTTTGCTGTCTAGGTGAAAACGTTCTTCATGTTCGTGATGCTGACACACAGGATAAGATTCTGCATGCTCTGAAGCTTCAGTTTGGTAAACAGTACCCATGGTAAGTACCGTTGTCTTCCTTTGAGATGCTAAAGCAGTAGAGAAATAGGCTTTTAGTTCTGACATGGTCATATTTGATCACTCTTTCCAGTGCACTAATCTGAGGTTGCAAATTATTTTTCATTTTACATGGCTCATTCAGAGTCATAGTGCAATCTCTGGTGTGGGGATTTGTGTCTGGAGAGCAAAATGTTGCTAGGATTATTTTGGTATAACTAGAAATTTAACATTCAACAGAAAGTTGAGAAATTCATATGTGAGGCTTAGATTAACATGATAGCTTGCTCCATCGTAGCAGCATGAGGGAGAACATCCTGACTGTCTGCCCCTAACTCCTGCCTGAAGGACATGTTACTTCATAGCTGGATTGACTTCAGGCATGATACACAGAGAGCCCTGAGTGCAAGCTCCCAGGGGAGCTGCTGGATGAATTCATTCCTCTTCAGCCATACAGTACTGACTCACAGTTCTAAAATAACTGAGTTCTTAAAAGCTTCAGGAGATTACATGTGTTTAATTAAGGACAAAATTCAAGAGTATATTTTTCAAGAACCTCAGTAAAGTAAGAAAAATAAATTCTGGAATAACAAATGTGTGCTTTAGGTATGGCAATATTTTAAAATGAGACTTCTCTGTAGCAAACTGGCATGAATGTACCATTAATTGTTACTTAGTTGTCATCTTTCTGATAAGCACATCTTGTCTGGGCATGTGGTATATATGGAAATCAAATTCTTAATTTATGTAATTTTATAACTTTATTATGTGTGTGTCCTTTCATTAAACACTTAATTTTTTTTCTTCTTTTTTTTTTTTTGGCATGATTAACCTTCCATTCTTCTACATTCCGTGTTCCACATTCCTAAATGGAGCTAATGCCAAATTGCATAATCTGTTGTGTATGATATTCAGACTACTGTATTCTACCATATCCCATGACTCACTTGAGTAGTCTGAGGTGCAGCATTGTCAGAATAGTCATACCAAAATTTTGTAATGTTACAGTATTACAGTATCCTATCATGTAAAAAAAAAAAAAAACAACTTCATAGATTGCAGTGTTATTTACATTTAAATTGATCTCTTTTCTCATATTACAGCTCAAAAATATATGGAGATGGTAATGCTGTTCCAAGGATTTTGAAGTTCCTCAAATCCATCAATCTCAAAGAGCCATTGCAAAAGAAATTCTGTTTTCCTCCTGTCAAAGATAATATCTCTCAAGATATAGACCATATTCTAGAGACACAGAGTGCTTTGTCTGTGGATCTAGGTGGAACAAATCTCCGAGTAGCAATCGTCAGTATGAAGGTAAATACCCTGTTATTCTTTTAGCTATTCTGCAAACTCTACTGGGCTTTGTGCATCTGTGCATCCTGTGGTGGGGATATGTGTATAACACAAAAGACCTCCAAAAACAAGCAGTCCTACTGGCTTTTGCTGTTGAGGGATAAAGTAGATTTTCCCCAACTGGGTGGACTTCTCATCCAGCCTTGATGCAACTTGCCTTGCTGGTTTGCTTTTCTAAAGCTGCTGTTAAACTAGCAAAGCCCATTTGCTAGTACTTGTTCCTAGCTACTTCTTTTCTGTGGGAAGTCCTAGAACTACAGGACAACTTTCTGATGTGTCTTCTGTATTTTCCTGTCCTAATCCTGCAATATTAACATTACACTAAGGTTCCCTAGTACCCACAGATGCGGGTGTGCATAGTTCTTTTCATTGCCACCGCATGACTGGTAGGCTTTAAAAACAGTCCCTTTCTCTTGGGACCTCCTTCCCACATATGTCAGACGTCACAGTAGATGGTGCTCCAGAAATATTTCAAGTGACTCAGAATCATAACTGCTTAGAAAAAATGTTAATTCTGAAAGGATGGTAAGTTATACATTGAAATTTCAGGTATTTCTCTCTATCTAACTCGCCTCTAGTTGGTAAAGTAGCAGTGTCTACGAAACCATTCAAACTTCCAAGTAGTCAAATTGGAAACATTTTATTCTTAAAGTCCTGTGGATTTTATGTCCTTTTACTATTTGTTATTCTCTTGATCTTTTTAACACTTCAAAAATGAGCTTAACAACACTGCTGTATCACAGTTAACTCCTAACAATAGTTCCAGCAAGCCCTGTAATATTTTCTTACACAACCCACATGTTCATTATGTATTTTATTTCAGACAGGTGGTTGAAGCATAATGTAAGACCTAATCTTGCAAGCTTGTCCCCCATAGTCACCAGGAATCTTACTACACAGAACAGTTTGTAGGACCAAGACCTAAGATATACTTCCTTTTTTTTTTTTATGAAAAGAGAAAAGTTGTGACTTCCCATTTTTAGGTTGACTTGTGTTGAAATTCAAGAGAAATTTCATCATAAAGTACATTTCCATGCATCATGTTTGTGATTTTTATTTTCTAGGGTGAAATAGTTAAGAAGTATACACAGCTCAACCCTAAAACTTACGAAGACAGACTAGGTTTAATTCTAAAGATGTGTATAGAAGCTGCATCAGAGGCAGTACAACTGAACTGCAGAATTTTGGGAGTAGGTAAGTTAATAAATATTACCTTCTTTTGTATTTTCATCTGATTGTAACATGTAATTAAATCACTATCAATTAATTTAAAATATTTCTCTAAAACAGATCCTGTGTATTTTAAACACTTAAATTACATTCCTAACACACACAGAAAATAAATTTAAAGTGACTATGAAAATGAGAAGCTGGCTATAAAAACTGAAGTTGCCCTAGTCTGTAGCAGCCAGGAATGCAATCTGCTAAGCTTTAACAGCGCCTAAGTCCTAACCTCCAACACGATTAAACTTAGAGGAGAGGCTCCCACTTTACTTAAAAGGTTGCTGTTTGTGTTGTGTCTGAGCTTCATGATTGTGGTTTTGAATGACGCATTCTACAGGTTCTCTAAATGAAGCCTGTGTAAAGTCTGTGGTATATAGCAGAAGTGGACTTTTAAGTTAACTGCAGTCTCAGAATTGTGACCCAGATGCTGTGTGTATATTGAAACAGCTCTTGAAACGTAACTGCAGCTGAGTCCAATTTCCACTGTTGCCTATAAGCCTTTCTTTATGGCTAGGATCAACTGTGCAGCAGAATCCTCAGTTACACTAAAGCAGAATAAAAAGGCTAGAAGGTTAGATCAGTTTTGCAGCTCACAGAGATAAAGGCAACCTTTTCTTTCATTTCCGTCTTACTTATTACGTAGCAGAATCATAGAATGGTTTGGGTTAGAAGGGACCTTGCAGATCATCTCATCCAACCCCCCTCCCATCAGACCAGGTGGCTCAAAGCCTCATCCAATCTGTCCTTGAACACGGTCAGGGATGGGGCATCCACAGCTTCTCTGGGGAACCTGTTCCTGTGCCTCACCACCTGCATCATGAAAAACTTCTTCCTTATATCCAATTTAAATCTACCCTCTCTCAGTTTAAAACCATTGCCATTCATCTTGCCACTATAGGACCAGGTAAAAAGGTCCTGTCTTTCTTACAAGCCCCCTATAATATGTCCTGAAAAGCCACAGTAAGGTGGCCTTCAGAGCCTTCTCTTCTCCAGGCTAAACAATCCCAGCTCCCTCAGCCTGTCTTCATAGGAGAGGTGCTCCAGACCTCTCTGATCATTTTTGTGGCCCTCCTCTGAATCTGCTCTAACAAGTCCATGTCCTTCTTGTCATAAGATATATACACACACAACAAATCTTTCAGGCTACCTGTCTGGTAACACACATGACTTAACCAGCCAGACTGTTTTACTGTGCCCAGGTGCTGAATCTTGCAAGCCTCAAACTTCCTGTAGAAAAGGTAGCAATTTACAGAGTTTTTATGTGGGGAAAAAGCTTTCCTTTTGTTTGTCATTCTACCAGGATAACATCCCTATTTATTCTTCAGCCCACTGAGGAGGTGTGCTACAGAATACAATAAATTTCTTACCTGATTACTTTATTTTTGTTAGCTGCTCCTTGCCTCATTCAGCCTTACAGTTTGAATCAGAATGCTAGTTGAAATTAAGATTTCTCTTTAGAGAAAGACATAAAATTCCTATGGGAATAATTAATTTGCTAGATGATAGTAATTTCCTTAAGGTTAATAATCATAAGTTGGAGTGTTCCTATAAGTTTGGAGGAATTTTTGCAAGGCAGAAGAGAAAGGGTCAGACTTAATCCTGGAGCCATTATCAGTAACTCTGGCTAGCTGTCATAGGCAAGGGTAAAAGTAATAATCATTGGAAATAAATGAGAAGAAAGCTTTCTGTTAATAGCTCTATGAGAAAAGCTTTTTCTTTCTTTTGGTCATCACTCAAAAAAATAGCTACATGAGCGTAACTTGTATTGAAGAACTCCCATTAATACAAAACATGTTTAAAGAGCGACTAAAAAGCAGAACACTGAAAAAAATAGTTTTCAACATCTTTGTGTCTTGATGTCCACGTTAAGTCTAGATTGTAACAGCTGTGTAATTAGTTTCTATGCTTTTGTCTTTGTGTTGTCGTGGTGGTTTTTCTCACTCAAAGAATTTGTATTAGAAACAGCTTTATGAAAATGAGGGAAAAGATTAACATTTCCAGAGAACACCAGCAGCTATTAATGATTTTTTTTTTTTTTTACCAAACACAAATTTTAAGCCAAAGCAGATACAGTTGTATGCACAAATCTTGCTTTGAGATGTTTATGAGAGCTATCCACTCACTGCTCTTGGACAGTAAATTTACCAAAAATGCATTACCTAGCTTGCACTCTGTAGTACAGAAGTAGATTGCTGTCGGTATCCCAGTCTGCTTGAGAATCACTTACGTGACTACAGCAGAGATGCCTGCAGCAGTATTTAACTTACCTTTCTGGAGCTGATAGAAAAGAGGATGAAGAGACGGCTTCTGCTATTTCCATGTTTGTCTACGTTGATTACATACTTAGGACAAAAAGTAGGTATGTTTTAACGAGCTTTTGCTGACTTAGCAACTATTAAGTAAGGTTTTGTTGCAATTTTTTTTTAATTCTAGGGAGAAATTGAACACTTTTACAGTTTGCTCTTGTATTATCTTTCATGCATAGCTAAAAATAAACATAGATATTAAAATTCTTTGCAATCTTGCCTGAAGTAGGAAGACTAACGTCAACCATTGCCCATTTAGTTAGTCCTAAGATACTAGGTGTGTCATGACTAGAGCAAGGGAGTTCTATGACTTCTCTGTACATGTCAGAAATGGCACTGCCAGAAATACATGGAATTTTTTATTTTCGCACTCTGTTTCAAGGCCTATATTAGAAATATAAATACTTGTCAATGCACAGAGGAAAAAAATATTTTTACTCAAAGTTTTATGTAGACTTAATTTTGTTTTTTCTCTCCTGTATTTCTGGGACTTAGGTATTTCCACAGGTGGACGGGTAAACCCCCGAGAAGGAATTGTGCTTCACTCCACAAAACTCATTCAGGAGTGGAGCTCCGTGGATCTCAGAACCCCAATATCTGATGCTCTGCACCTGCCAGTCTGGGTGGACAACGATGGAAACTGTGCAGCTCTAGCTGAAAGGAAATTTGGTCATGGAAAGGGAGTAGAAAATTTTGTAACGCTCATCACTGGTACAGGTGGGTATGTTACAGCTCAGTGAAACCCAGGGTCAAAATATCACTAGCATCACTCATCTGATTGAGTCTCATCTGATATTAAAGGCATAAACAACACCATTGTGCCTGTAAAACTTTTATACATTAATTTCTTAAACCAAAAGTCCTTTTGCCACTGCATTTATTTGTTCCTTTGGGGGTGCTTTTACTTTTATTCAGGCAAATTAAACGTTTTGCACGGTACAGGCTTCTCAATAAAAGAATTTCTGCTGATACAGTTATGCAGGCAAGCAGTTTTTTCAAAATAAGCAAAATCTGACCAACTTTAGCTGGAATATTTTTGCTTTATTCAGCTTTATAGATCAGTTAATTCTCTTTCATCTGCAGAAATAGAAGTCAGATCAGAACATATATGTAGAACAGCTAGATAAGCACCTGAATAAGACATACAATATCTCAAAAGCAGATGTGTGCAACTTTTTTTTTTAAAGTCCTTTAGAATGGTGGCAATAGTAACTGGCTGATAAATCCCCACCTGCGTTTGTGAAGGGGCAGCAGGGGACTGGGTTTAAATGCCCTGGGTCTTCAGCACAGAGTTCACAGTCATTCTACAGCTGTCAAACTGTGCTGCTAAAATATATGAAGCATCTGAAATGCAAAATTTTACGGCCACTTGGAAGGTTAGTTTTGTGCATAAAGGGCATGACCCACAAGCTCTTAAAGATTTGTCATAGTAGTTCAGTACTATCCATAGGCCTTTAATATAAGCTTGGAAGAAAGAATAAGCATTGCTTACTGGTTTGTTTTATATGAATAGGAGGGAGCTTTGAGCTTGCTTAGTAGGTGTGTTGAACAGACAAGAGCTCTTCAGTAACCAGTCATTTTTGGGGATTCAGTATAGAGGATCATGGATGCACATATTTTATCTTGTCTGTATTAGAATATGTAAACTTCAATGTCCTACAGAATCGGGGCCTTTAAAAACTGTATTTTGTCTTTTTTACTCATGGCCGGTTTTGTATCTTTGCAGGAATTGGAGGTGGAATCGTTCACCAGCACGAATTGATCCATGGCAGTTCATTCTGTGCTGCTGAGCTTGGGCACATTGTTGTATCTCTGGATGGACCGGAGTGCCTGTGCGGTAGCCAAGGATGTATAGAAGCATATGCCTCTGGCATAGCATTGCAGAGAGAAGCTAAGAAGCTGCATGATGGTATCTATGTACTTCATTTTTTTTTAATATTTAGATAGATTCCTAAGCTGTAGTGTATTTAAAAAAAATGCAAAGAAGACATAAAAAAGAAAGAATAGACCTGCCATCTTTTCTGAGGAGGAGACAACAGGTATAAAGACAGTGAGCTTAGACTTCTTGTGTATGGCCAGGGTGAGCTGCCACAGCCTGTACAGTACAATACAATTATATTTCAGTGATTGCAATACGCAGGAAAGCCATACTTGGAACCTCTAACTTCAGAAGTGCAATAATCATGTCGTACAGTTCAGTTTTTCCTTTTTAAGTGTGCTGTAAGGTAGCCAACTGGACAGGGAGCCTGTGAGAGATTTAGTTTCACAGGGATCATCTTTCTGCAACAGCTTCTCAGTCTGTCGACTGAAGCTGAGAACGTTTTTTCTTATTTGGTGAAATTTTGGGGCAGATGATAGGACTAGTGAATTACCATGCTACAAATTTGATGTCCTGCTTCTGCAAAGAGTTTCCTGAATATGCATATAACTGCTAAACTCAAGACTGGCCAGTTTGCTCAGGTTTCAGTATGAAAGTGAAAGAGATGGAAAAATCTTAACTGCCTGTTTACGCTCCATTTCTTGACTTACCACGTCACCATGTTTTTCTCTTGGCTTTCTCTCCTCCATAAACAGCGGATCTGCTTTTAGTGGAAGGAATGTCAATGAAGAAGGAGGAAGTTGTTAGTGCTGCACATCTCATTCAGGCAGCTAAACTTGGGAACACAAAAGCAGAAAGCATTCTCAGAACAGGTAAGAAGACAGCCACAGGCAGAAAACCCTTATATGGTTAGATTTTGGGGGATACACTATACCACTGCAAACAACAGACCTGCATTAGACTCAAGGAACTCTCTGTGTATAATTACTAACTTTAATGAAAAGTTAAATACAATGGTATAGGAAACTTGAGCAAAAGATGTCCTGAAGAGTCTCTGTGTTCCTGCAAAGATCAGGTTTGGCTTTAAATTAAAAAAAGAAGTGAGGTCTCAGGATTTTCATACTGGAAATTTTGGGGACGTTCTGTTGTAGTCAAGGGAATGTCTTGTCTGAGCAAGCAAAGGCAATTCACATTACTTTACATTGGATAATTTACTATTTTACTAGCTTCAGACATAGTCCCCTTCCTCATACATAGCTGATAGCACTGAGAAAGTAGAATAATGCTTTGCTATTTTCTCTTACATTACAAGTGTGGTAATACATTGCTTGGTCTTTCACATCCATATCATTGAATAATGCACTATTGTGCAATAAAATTGCCTTTTTTTTTCCTTGAAGGAAAGAGTAATGGCAAACTAACACTTGTGATAACAAATTAAAAACGTTCTGCCATATGGAATAAAACAATTTCCTGACTAATGTGTTATTAGCTGCTAACAGACCTATTGCAAAAAATGATGTTTGGACTGCTTTGAGTGTTCTACTTAATTTTGTTTTATTTTATTTTTTCAGCTGGTACAGCATTAGGCCTCGGAGTTGTGAACATTCTACACACCATGAACCCCTCTCTGGTGATCCTTTCTGGCGTCCTAGCCAGCCACTACGTCAATACTGTCAAAGATGTGATACAGCGACAGGCTTTGTCCTCTGTTAAAACTGTGGATGTGGTGGTCTCAAATCTAGCAGATCCTGCTCTTCTTGGAGCTGCTAGCCTGGTACTAGATTATACTACACGTAGAATATACTAGGTACCTGGAAGAATAGCAGAAATGGACTGTTTAAATTAATAATGGGTGGAGCGAATACTTTGCCCAAAATTTTTTCTTTGACCAGAGCAGCTACAGAATCAGAGTAATGTTCTGAATAGTTAGTGACTACTTCAACATTTCCTAATTAGGTATTCTCTTTTTGTATTTTTTCTAAATTTCATCTGACTTCAGAGGAATCAACGTGCAATTCTGTTGTTTTTAATCACTTCTCTTGGCAAGCCCAGATGTTGCTTTTAAGTGTAGCTGAATTATTTATGAGCATATATTGACGTACGGTAGGGAGTATACATGTTGTGTCAAATTATTAGCTAATACTTGGGGATACACATCTCATTTCCCACCTCTGCGGAATGAGAAGTCTACAGTGTGACCATCTTTTTTATTTCTAGGCTTCCGCCCACAAAGTAAATGCAAAATAATCACCAACAGCAGGTGGTAGTTTCAGTGGGTGGAAACAAGGGAAGGTGCCTCCACAAACAAACAAACAAAAAAGCTGCATTTGGAAATTGTGGCTTTTGAAGGACTTGGAGGAAGCAGTTATTTATTACATCATCTTTAAAGGGCAGAGTCCCATTTTAGAAGCTTTGCAAATGAAGGAAAAAGACCACAGCCTAGTGAGCTTACGGACTGCCAAAGCAGTCCAAACAAACTGACAAGCGTAGCACTGAGCATCTTTGTGCTCTGGCTTTAGCCAGCAGTAAATTATTTGAATTGTATTGTTGGGGTTAATTTTATTTTATGGGGTTTCCTCAAGGGACTTAGTCCACCACTTTGTCTCCCAGATTAGCAGAGAGGGGACTTTCTTCTGTAGCGGCCAGTTAGCTAAAATGCGGTAATGGATTTTAAATTGCATCTGAGCGTAAAGACTACCTTTTGAGAAATCTCATCCACTGCAGAGCGACACGGTGCGTCTCCTCAGCAGTGCTGGTGGCTGCAGGTACGGTATCACTGTCCTGCTTTCACCATCATCTCACGGATGGAAAGTCAAATCTGAGCCTCATTCTCGTGTTCAAGGCACCCAGTGGCCTTGGAGCAGAGTATATAACTACCAGCAAAGGCTTGCTGACCTAGGGAGAGGCTTAAGATGACACAGCGTAGTCGTGTTCCACATTTAAGGGAGGTGGTTTCTTTAGCTAGTTCTTCTTGATTCATAATTCTGCCTTTATCTATCCGCTTTTTTAGCACACTTTAAAGTTATTCTAGTAATGACAATTAGTTCACAGAAGGAGAAACTGAGAAACAGAACAATCTAGCTGACCGGCTATCCCAGAAAGAAGACACCTGCCAGAGAAACAGTCCTGGGTCCTTCACGTAGTGACCTAAACCCTCTGTGCCACATTCTTTCACAGAATCAGCAAGTAGGGATGCACTGGTTCTTAGAGCCTACTACAACATAGCAAAGTTATGTCACCAAGGTCTCTTAGTGTTCCTTTTCCTTTATTTACTCAGTGAATCCCAGTAACTTCAATACCAGAGCAGTAGCTCCATGAGCAAGTCGAGGAGAAATGTGCTTTGCTCCACAGTGATAGCATCTCATGGCAGGGGTAACAGCGCTGAGGCTCTAACAGAGAGGATCCCTGTCGTTTGACCTTTCCATCCTCCTCCCATCACAGGGATGTCTGATTAAAAGTGGGACCAGGCTTTTGCTTTTCAGACCTCCTGATGCAAACAGCATTTTGATAGCTCAGACTCCAGACATGTTTTTTCCCTATCAGGTGAAGGGATGTTTGAGGCAGATAGAAAACATGAAAGGTATTTAAACATTTTAAAATACTTGAAAAAAAAAAAATAACACTAAACATTTTAAAGTCTATTCTCTTCAAGAAAATTGTTCTTCAAATGCCTTTGAATTAATTTTTTTTTCTGGCAACTGAACAAGAACTTGCTGCATTGGGGCAAGTGGTGTAGAAGTCCTTGGTTTTCCCTGCGACATCTGTGGGTTTGTAAAATTAAAAAAAAAAGTTCATATTTAAGAGTGTAGTGGTGATTTTTGTTCTGCTTTTTTTATTACTTCTTCATTCCATGTTCAGAAACACCCCCCATGCTTCAGACACATCATTGTGTACCAAAGGTTTTCTGGACATTGACTCGCAGTTGTACACACTCCCAGGGGGAGAACATCAGCAGTGTTGTGGTGTCTGGTTCATTGCTGCTGACCCTGTGCACTTCAAGGCACCCCACACCTTGAAAGTCAAAGAGGGCAAACCAGCCTTTGTATCCACTGCCAGGAGGGCAGAAGGGGAGTAAAAGCAGAAGCGAGCAGCTGACATTCTGTCCCCAGCTGTTAACAGACACTACAGACGTGTAAGACATCCTGCACTGCCTTCTCATTACCTTATGGGCATCGTCTGTTACAACCACCTGCTGCAGAAGACCTCTAACAGTGCATATGCTGCACTGCTCCTCATCCTTGCACCTGGGGGAAAAAGACTGCTTTGTCCACCACAGTCCTGGCAAAGCACAAGGCCACTGAGAGCCAGGACTTGGGTCTGTGAGCAGGCCGGCTGAGTTTTGCCAGCTGTCTTGCACATCTGTGCTGATACACTGCAAGCTACAGAGCTAAGTTGGTTTGTTTTTGTTTGGTCTCCTGAGCAGCAAATTTAGTTACTATTTTCTGTCTCTGATCCACTGTCTAGAGACTGAAGACTCACAAACGCCTCAGCCTTCTCCTAGTGTCTTTCCTCAACTTAAATGTACCGAAATGGTCAGGAAGTTGCATGTGTTACCAGCAGAGAAACTGTCACGTTGTATCACAGAAACACATAAGGTACTGGACAGTAAAGCACAGACAGGCTTTATGTTCTGATACTCAATGCATTGGCCTGACAGCCACAGACAGGGTGGTGGTCAATGTCTCAATGTCCAGGTGGAGGCGAGTGATGAGTGGTGTCCCTGTGGGGTCTGTCACGGGACCTGTGCTTTTTACTGTCTTTATCAATGACATTGACAGTGGGATCAAGCGCACCCTCAGCAGGTTTGCAAACACCCAGCTGAGTGTTGCAGCTGATACAGCAGAAGGAAGGGATGCTATCCAAAGGGACCTGGAGAAGCTTGAGGTTTGGGCCCACGTGAACCTAATGAGGTTCAATAAGGCCAAGTGCAAGGTGCTGCACCTGGGCTGGGGCAATCACAAACATGAGGACAGGCTGGGAGAAGAACTTGGCAGAAGAAATTGTTAACTGAAACACCTGCCAATGCCATGTATTTAGTGCAGCTATGTTTTAGTTTGGCACCAAGCTATGTTTATTTCATAATCTGAAAGCAAATGCTGTGCACTGTGGGCCCATGAAGTGTTTTAAAATGGTCGTGATGTTCTGAAGAAGACACAAAGCAAAAGACCCTGGATTAAGTTTTCACACACCAGTGTAGCACTTCCAGATTGATTCGTCTGGCAAGAACACACAAAACACAGTGAAATTGTATACTTTTCATACAATTTCATATATACAATTTCTATAGCCCAAAACACTCGCTGCCTGTACACTGTGCTCTGGTATAAAATCAGAGTAAGATGACCACTTTTTCAGAATGAACAAGGCAACAAGAATATAGGAGGCAGACAGTTTGCTGCTGCTATCATAACTGAGGGAAGCTTTTGGGCACACAGCCCTCCTGCTGATCTCATGAAGATGTCAGTAGTATCCTTACCAAATCTAATACTGGGCTTTTACTTCAGTTGAAGAAGGCCTCATGTGAAAACTCACATTTTTTCCATAGGTCTAAAAAGAGATAAATACTTCTCTACACCATTTCTGCCTTGCTTTTAAAATGAGACCACCATTGCTACAAATTCCTGTAGCTAAATGTCTTCCAAACTAGACTTTCCAGCTCTTTCTTTGCATGTAGCACATTATCAGCATTTAAAATTCCTGTGTGAGGTGCTAAACCTGTGTTTAAGAAGTGCATGAAGAGTATATTTAAGATGAAACTTTAAAGAAATATCCTGTTTTTAATTTCCAGAGGTTCCTTCATTTATCAGTTTCACAAGCATGTGATATCAGTATGGTTACAGTACTGTTTAAAATGCTTGGTAAGATTTTTATCCCATCCATACCTCATGCCTTTTTTCACCTGACTGTGCTGGGTGAAATACCTGCAGCTGGTGAACAGCTGCCAGAGGAGGCAAAAGCAAATACCCGTAGTCCGCAGGCACTGCAGTCATTGTCATCACACCCAACCACCAGTGACACTCCCTGAACTGATGCAACACCAAATTAAACTGCTCAGCAGCGTTGAGTAGCCCTTCCACAGCCCTTCCTGTCAGCCACATCACTGCTGTTGAGATAAGCATCAAGGCGGGGAGGGCAGTGAGCAGCACTGAGTCGCTCAGCGAGGCCAGATGCAGCACAGCGTCGTCACGTGTAGTCACAGCACGGTGACAGAAGCTGGCTCCAGAACAACAATGCCAGTGTTTAGAAACAGACAAGGGGTTGGATTCACCCAAATAAAGCTCGCTGTTCTGTTCAGTGTCACGAGTAGTAACTAAAATAATTCCCAGACACAGCCTGAGCATGGCACTGGTAAGGCCCCACCCAGAGCACTGACTCCAGGTCTTGGCTTCCCAGTAGAAGAGAAAACATGGACATAGCGGAGAGAGTACCACAGAGGTGACTGAGGGACTGCAGCACCTCTCCTGTGAGGAAACGCTGAGAGAGCTGGGGCTGCTCAGCCTGCAGGCTCATGGGCATCTATCAGTGTGCACACATACCTGAAGGGAGTACAGAGCCAGGCTACCTTCAGTGGTGCCCAGCACCAGGACAAGAGGCAGTGGGCACACACTGGAGCACGGGAAGTTCCCTCCGAACACAGGCAGCATTTCTGTGCTGTGCAGGTGCTGAGCACTGGCACAGGCTGCCCAGAGAGACTATGAGTCTCCTCCATGGAGATCTTCAAAAGGCATCTGGAAACAGTCCTGGGCAGCCAGCTCTGGGTGGCCCCGCTTATGCATAGGTGCAGAGAAAGGCAGTGAGCTTGTATAACTGAATAAAAAAAAAAAATCAAGGAAAATGATGGAATTAACAGAAACTCAATGTAAGAGCTAGAAAAGCTAACCAAATCCAAAAAAAAGATGCTCATTGAGTGTCCCAGTTGGATGGTATACACAAGAACTGCAGACCCCTTGATAGCACTCAGCTCATAAAACACTACTTTAACTCTTGTAATATTGTTTTGGCCTCAGATCTGGGAGCCATTGGCAGTTTTTATCAATTACAGCACAAAGCTATGCTATGCACTTACCACTGTTAAAACGTCTGATGGGATCCATGTGGTGATCAACTAGCTCCATAGCTCATTCTTTCACATGACAGTAAATTCCAATGAGCATCTATTTTAGCATAGCACATTGTAGATGTGTGTATTTTATGCAATGAAGTTTTCACTATTAAATTGCCATTTTATTTTAAAAGCCCATGTTTGTAGAATGTTGGGGTAATGGGAAGAAATGAGGATTTTAGTCAAGCTGAATGCATAATTGGTCAAGGCTAGCACCTTGTATCAGTGTTCAAAGAGCTTCCTCTGTTTGCTAGTCCTTTAAAACTCACCTGTGGAATTCCCATGTAGTTTAGAGAATATTTTCTTCCTTTAATCTTGTACGGTATTAAGCTTTCACAGCTGTAGTCTGCTATCACTTTCATCCATCACTGCTCAGCTGTACCTTGTGGGCACACTCACAAACATGAGAACAGTCCCAGCTACTGTAGTTAACGCTAGGACACAGCATACTTCAACTAGAGGCCCAACTGGCAACCATTTCTTCAGTGTATTATCCACCAAGGCAACGAGCTGCTAATAAACCAGTTGCTGTGCAACAACTCCACAACTCAGCAAGTTTTAGTCAGCATCTGGAGCCCCCTTCACACTGTCTGTACTAAGCTTCCAGCTCATGCCAGAATGTATTAAAGTAGCCCTCCTACACACTAGCTAAGGTGGTGTATCTGCCAGAAAATGATTGAAAACAGCTCCTCTGAATGCAGAATGAGGCTGGAGAGCCAAGGAAGGAACAGGACAAACTGCGGATGTGTTTGTTTCAAACCACTTTGGGAGAGCTCCAGTCTAGTTGGTACAGAAGCAGCAGCAGGAGCACATTTTGAATCTCCTGTCCAGCACCACGATAAAAGCATCTGCAAGTCAGTATGGACAAGGACACAGTTGCAGACACACAACTTCATTACAGCCACAGAGCACAGCGTTGCCTCCCTCCTTGACAGCTCAGCTTAGACAGCCTCCACACAGCAGAGCTTTGCATATGGAACCAGTGTTGAATACTTACTCAGTGAAATGGGCAGTCTAACAAGCAGAAGTGTCAGCAGCTTTAACTGTTCAGTGCCCTGTACTGCATTTCTAGCCAAAGATCTATATCTGGAGTGAATCACTTAGCAGAAGACTACCCAGAACTGCTTACCTGCAGAAGGTAGTGTCCTCAGTTCCACTAAAAGAGAAGTAAGCTCCTTAACAAGCCTGCTGCTCCAGTTTCCCAAAGCTCCTGTCTTGTGTAATAAATTGGATAAGGAAGCAGTTCTAACTAAAGCTCTCAGGAGCTTTAAGAACACTCAGAGACAAGCAGGACTCCTCTAAGAAACCAGGAGGAGTGGCTGCTGGCTAGTCATTCACCAGCACAGTAAAATCCCCATCAATTGATAGATATGTTTACTCACACACAATGTAAAGACTCCCCGTGGAAAAGGTGCAGGACAACTTCTCAATTCATCCAAAGTCAACACATTTTGCAGTTTAACAGATCTTTAATATCAGTACTTTTGGAAGTGACATCTCAGTGCAAACAGCACAGAGGCTACAGTTCTGGAGGTCCTCCCAGACACAAAAGAAACATGAGGAAGAACATGCAATCAAACAAAGATCAGCTCTAGATACATCATGAGGTTTGGTCCAAAAAAAACATTGAAACAATTAACCCAATTACTGCAAACACAGCTTCTCTGAGTAAGGTTAAGATATTGCATTTGTAGTGTTTCCATTGTGCTTTCCTTCAGCGAACCAGCGGAGCCTGCTTGAGTGAGATGAGGACTGAACGCATGCGGGACACGTCTTTAGCCTGCTTACTAGACTTGGGATTAAAGTCACAGAGCTGAGCCACGCGTTCCCACTCAGTGCCCGGAAATACATCTTCTGCATCGTTCACAAAGGCTTCTTCAGCTGCCCTGAAAGCAACGCAATGCACCTCGTGTTAATGCCCAGCATAAGGCACTCCTTCCCTCTTACAGGATGCAGTTTCTTTCAGTATGTTTTGTAAGAAATGTGACCTGACAGCTGCTTGTGAACATTATGGCTATTTAAGCTCCCACTGCCCCAACCCTGGAGATGGAAGTAGGTTGCAATAGTATGCTGTGCACAAGCAGTGCAGAGGATTGCTGTGTAAAATGTTGGAATACAGGTGTTTGGTTTTAAGAGTAGTTATCGAGTCTTTGCCTACAGGAGTCACCACACAAACCGCCAGGAAGCAAGGTACTCCTATGTAGGCATTTTACATGTATTTATGAAGAAATGCCCAAGTCTCAACTATTGAAGCCTCTGCCACTTGATGGCTTGCTTTGGACACTTGCCAACTAGAAATTTACAGTTCCCTGCAAGCACGTCTTACAACAGATTCCATTTGAGGATTTAGATCAGCCCCAAGGCCTCCAGGCCATCAAAAAACTATCTGCTGATGATTCCCAATGCTGTCGTGAAACAGCATGAATCAAAAGGAATTTAAGTCACAAATCCCACGCCTCTGGGTGCTGTAGTCTAAAGCACATCTCGGCAGAGAGGGTGACTCATCTGGAGTCAGCTAGCAGGATAAACACATTTCGTCTGCTCCCTCTCACCCGAAGGATACTCTAAGGAGGCTTTTTGCAACACGGACAGGTTAGTGACAGTGCCTTCCCAGCGGTATCCTTTTGGTTTTTCTATGCTGCCAACAGCATTGCTTCAACGCATGTGTAACACTCCAGCATCCAGTTTAGGTGATCTGTGGGGCCCTGGTGGCTGCCTGAGTGCAAGAGCAGTAAGCATCGAGAGATCAAACCAAATCCATCTACTCCAACAAGCGGTACAGAGAAAGCAGTGAGGATGACTCTCCCATGAGGGTTCAGCACTGTTCACAGGGATGGTAAGGTTACAGACACCACCGAAGACAAGGGTCACTACAACACTGCTACTTTATGTGACATGACACTTTTAAGGGGCAGTGAAGATTTTTTACTTAACTGTTCTAGGCTGTAGCAAGGATGATTTATGTTTGTGCTTAAAGGTGAAGAGAAGAAAAGAAACAAGGAGAGAAAGTTTAAGTCAGATATAGAAAATGAGAATGAGTTTAATGCAGATGGTCAGCTGGCTCAACATGCACTAGTAGCTCGGCCTACATTCAGGAAACATGCTGCCAATTTTATTCTGCAGCACTTGCAATGCGCATTTGCAATGGCTACAGGAAAATAAGTGTTTTATTAGAAGGTCTAAGTCAGCTCCAGAAGACTTCAGAACAAAGTCAAACACCACCTGTAAATCCATCATTTCACAAGTCTTGCTTTACATCCATCTACAATTAGGTAATAAGTTCCACAGGGGACCTTCAATATAAATGCACTCAAGGCCACACCATGGCTCACCAGTACACCTTCTAAAGGTGTCACCTTAGAATCTGTGACATGGCCATCTTTCAATTCAAGTCTACAAATTAAGGGAAGAAATTAAAAGACATGAACAAGCCAATGAACATTGCAATCCTTCCACCCTGCAGAAACTCGCATACTCACTGGGGCTTGAAAGTCATGGCTGAATTCTCACTGGTCATTAGTCTGGCAACAGGTCTACAAATAAGTGCTCATAAATGTTCTGCCAGCAGCTAATGCTGATTTTCCAATACCACCTTCTTGTCCTTCTCATCTGTTCTAACAGCACCCTAAGTTCTACAGGCACCTTTTCTATCCTGATTTTTGGCAGCTGAGTCCTTCCCATCTTCTTTGGTTTGCAGAGCATTACATGCAAGGCTTGCTTGAATATTTTTCTGATTATATAGGCAAATGGCACAGACCAGGAGCACAATGCCTACTACACAGAATGCAGAGTTAAACATTGTACTTCATTGTGGTAGCTAAATACAGCACCCACATGAGGCTACATGTGACATTAACCCGTACATACAAAGCATCGTGCTAAGCAGCATTCACTGGCCTATAAAACCAGTGAACTGTGAAGTACTGTACCTTACAGACTACTGAACTCACTAGCAAAATGCCAGTGGTATGTGTACTACATGACTTAATTTAAAGGTGCTGGGTGTTGTGCAGATTCCCACAGGAAAACTGACTCTGACCTGCAGCATTAAGTGCTGTGTGAAAGTAGAGGCTGTTCATGTATTCTAGCTTCTACTGGCCTGAGATATTCAGCAGAAGTCACACTTGGTCATTCAGCACCATGTCTGATCCTCCTCATTACCTAGTTACTAGCAAACAGAATTAGTAGTTAAGCAACATACACATAACCAATCACATCAGCGAAGGGTTGTTTGTAGAAAGCTTCATCTGCCACCCTAGGTAGCAAGTAGTCCAACAGGCAGGCAAGCAGGCAGGAGAAAAGAGATAAGGATGAGAAGTACAGAACACAGCTGAAGGCAGTTTTTAAAAAGTGCATTAATCTCATATTGCCTAGACCTCACTCTCACAGGGAGGCCACTTCCACCACCTAGAATGTACCAGTAAGGCCACTGACTCACAGGGGCAGCATAAAAGCTCTATAACCTAAGAAACTGGGACCAGCTAGCCTAGGGCTAGCCCCAGTGTTAGCATTAAACTACCTCCAGTGGACAGAGACTAATTAGGGAGGTCTCACCAGGCTGATGAGAATATCAAACACCCTCAGAGAAACGCTGTGCTTTTGTGATCGCAGCTCGTTAGATGGGCCTTTCTCCTGAACGCACACCATGAGCTCAAACTGCATCAAGATAAAGCTATGGGGATATCATGAGATCTTGCCACTGCTTGTACGAGTGGCAATCCTGTTTCCTCTTCAACCTATCAGAAAAACCGTACCTCAGGGAATGAAAACATCAAATCCATAATTTTGTAGGATACATAGGCCTCCTTTCTTCCTTTAGGAAGTCTAGTAGTCCTAGGTACACTAGGACTACTTCTGACAAGCCTGCTGGCAATTTAGATAGGAAAAACGGCATTTCAAAAAACAGTTCAGCCTGATGACTGTGGGTTCCCAATGTATAAAGTAGCCCTGATGATTACCTGGACAAAATGACACTGGCAGCCCTAAGTCAGAAGTAAAGATCTAAGTCAGGACTATCATATTTACCTTTATGTAGGCAGAAGTCAAAATTCTGCAAGGAGCTTCTAAGGAACATGTAAGAATTGACTAGACTGCAGCTAAGCCATTAGTTTCTGCTCCACAGCACATAACAATTCAAGCCTTAAATGTAATATTTTAAATAGTCATCATTTAGTTCTTTACTAGCAGTACTCTGTGTATTTCTCAAACACTTCCACATGAAACAGTCTGAGGTTTTAAGATATCTAATGGAACAAGTGGCAGCAGAGTAACTAGAAGGCCACTTCTGTGTTTTTGAGAGGTTGCAAGTAAGATTGCTAGTTGCATGGTAGTCACTGAAGACCTGTGCAGCCAGGTACATGCAAATAAGGAGGCAGATTGATAATATCTGGCCAAGTTCAAACATTTTGTCCTAAGGACATAAATATTCTGGTTCATTATCTTAACACTTTCACTTACTATTCTTGGACACAACATCTAGACTTTAAGATAACTTAGAGAAGAGTCTAACACTGGACACCCATCTCTTAATTAGAGAGGTTACTGAAGTGGGATGAAGGATTAGTGCTAGACATTCTAACTTCTCCCCCCACCCAATTACTTTCACAGTAGCATAGGTCTTCAAATGGCTGGAGAAATCTTACCTGTTGCTGGCTTTTGTTTTCTGGAGCTTTTCATCTTGCCTGGCATACCACTCCTCCAACTCCTTTATTGCTTTCTCTTTCCATTCTGCTTCCTGCTTTCGTGAGTTAGCATCTAAAGATTTAAGAATTGATCTGTCAGACACACTTGTTCCACTTAGATCTTGCAGACATTCCAGCTGATCGTTCAGAGTGCACCCTAATGCAGAGTGTTGCTTGATCCATTCAAATAAGGGTTAGAAGGTTTCTGACTTATGCCATGATAAGTCCAATGCCCTCAGAATTCAGAGGGTTAGCTAAACAGAATGCCTGTGTTGCAGACAGCCTACTTCAGCTTAGGCTAAGAATCCATAGACTAATTCAGATTCAGTAAGTCTGCAAACTGTTCAGAAACAGTCACTTTGCTATAGTAGTACTAGAATAAAGCCTCTGCATTAGACAAAGTGAGGGAGCGTGACACTCAGCTTGCTTTTACACCCAGCCCATTTGTTCAGGACAAACTCATCTGCTGTAACCAGTACAGAAGAGAAACAACAGGCTCAGCTCTATCTGGAATCACATTGTATACAAAGTTTTCCTAACAGTTTCAAGGCAGTGTCTCCTCCCAAACCGAACTGTAAAGCACACCAGTTTGGTGGCTCTTAAAAGCTGTCCACAGGTAGGTGTCACTTAATTTGATAATGTGGTTTAGTTACAAGTCCATTACTTAAGTTAGCTATTAGGTTAAAGCTACATAACAGATGGCCTCCATGACAAAATTCTTCTCCCTTGCTCAAAGAGCAAGAGCAATCTTCTCCCTTGCAAAAAGAAAAACAAGTGCTGATGGTTGTTGCATTAACTCACTGTTTTCTGCTGATAAAAGCTGATAGTTTTCTGTTACAGGACTGAGGAACAGCTTATTGGTTACTAAAGGGCAAGCCACTTGAACATTCTTGGATCAAGGTTCAGCGATACACTTGCTTGCTGGATCCCACCTACACCACTATTAACAGTCTCCTTACCGGAAGACTCATCCCCCAAGCTTCCTGCTCAAGCTCAAGAGGCAAGTTACACTCTGAAGAGCTAGAAACCCCAGTTTGAGAAGTTCACCTTCTGGAGAAACTGCCACTTCTGAGTCACCAGCAAGAACACTACTGCAACAAACACCCTCCTTACCAAGCTGCTCCAGGCGCTCCTTTTGCTCCTCTCTCCACTTACGAATGCTCTCTGGCTCTGACTGCAGTCGATCTACTTGTGATATGGCAGCATAGCAGTCTGTTGGACCGTTACTCTCCTTTAAGGGAAGAAATAATCACGTCATTTACTCATTACAGCTGAATTTTTCAGGTAATTGCCTGCAAGCTACATAAAAGTAGACACCATCTGAACTGAGCACATGACGTTCATCTTACACTATACCACATCTTCACCATTACAATGAAAATTTCCTTGCCACAAATTACAGCAGGATTGATGCAAATTAATATAGGGCTGCCTCTGGGAATTTAGGATCAAACAAATTCAAGTTGACGAGGAATTCAAACTGTACCAGAGCTCTATGCCTGAAGAAAGCAGAAGACAGTGCCTAGTGCCTCAGCATGCAGTCGCAGGCCTACAGATCCTGCAGCTCATTTCACCTTAAATACATGCTATAACAGTAATTTTTCAGTTTTTATTGGTTTTGTGTACAGGAGTTTAAAGTGTTCTCTGTAACTTGCATTTGTCTGCCTCAGAAAAAATGTGTAAACCTTGAAGGACATTGGCTTTTAATATCAGTCAAAGGAATTACAGAATTTGTATTGTTGTAAGCAGCTATGTTAAACAGGACACAGTTTAACACTTAAGCAACAAAACAGTGCAAGTACTAACATACTTTTTACCATACAATAGTTCAAAGACTTGTAATGAATAGTGTTATTAAAGCACCAGACTTCCAAAACTAATGAATATGGTGCTTTTTGCTGCAGAGCATACTCCAGCAGTTTTTACTGGTTCACTCTACTCTGAACAGATGAAATACCACTGCTGATAGTACTAGATTGCAGTTCATGGCAGGTGTGGCTACATCCTGCTTTCTTTGGGCCTCTTATAGTCCTCAAAATGAAGGAATATTGCAAAGATAATGAGGAAGGTTGGTACAACAGCACCAGGTTTCACACTGAATTCAAAACAAAATAAATTGGCCAGTCACAGGGATAAATGAGTTACAGGTGGCTGAAAGAAGTTACATATAGCCCATTCAGTCTGTTCCTCCACATTAAGAGGAGGCTCCATCAAATAAAGCAGTCAATTGATTAGAACTGCAAGTAATCAAAATACTTCATCTACCTTTTAGGCACAGAGGAACATTAAGAAGCAGTTTTCCTACCAATCTCACAGCAACAGTGGGGACAAAAATATTAGTAGCAGTGAAAGTAGCTTATGTCTCCAGAAGTCTGTGTTCACTTAAAAGTCTATGGAAAAATAGCTCATACGCTGTGTCCTTTCCAAGCATTCACTTAAGCAGCACTATCCAAGCAACTCCCACAGCAGGAAGCAACCATGCTTTAGCCAAACTTGTCTTAAATTCAGCTACAATGCAGCAGTTGCCTTAACATGCCCTGTTTTTTCCTGACACTGATAAAGCAAGCATCTCCTTTTGTTTACCATGCATAACATGCTTTCATAATACGAAAGAGCTATCTAGCCAGCAGTTCAGTTTCATGCAACTTTATGTCACTAAGAAGTGTGCAGTGTTTTCAATCAGTTCCTTATAAGACCAGGGCTGATAAGAGAACCAGGATATATGAGCTATCCTTAAAAAATAAGCAATTTAGAAATCTCTGCTTTAAAGTAGTCAGAACATGCATTGTTCAGTTTATTAGCCAGTGGCAAGTCAATGTTAAGCCATCCTACAACATGTCAACTTGCTCAGAGTGGTTCAGACATGAAGCAGCTGTCCATTTTGATTTAAGTTGACTGCAAGCTCAGAGGAGAGCACAATATGTGCATAACATGAGATGAGCTATCAGAATAGAAGCTCCTCTTCAGACATGAGGTACAAGCAAATTAGATAAGGGCAATGGGAAGCATGAGCCTATTCTGAGGTAAAATGCTTACAGCAGAACAGCACATTCAAAATAAAGACTAATTCTACCTTACCTGATAGACATCTCCATTAATCACTCCATCAACTGCACCTGTAAAGAAATAACTGTAGTTTAGCTACTCGAGAAAAACAATACCACTGGATTTATTGACTACTGTAACTTGAGGGAAAGCTATACTGCAGTATCCAATGTGGGAGTTACGTAAATGCTTGTCATTTGATACCTCACAGGGTCATTTCCTTATCTCTGCACTTCTACTCCTCTTCCAGAGGGGCACAAGGGACAGTGACCCATCATCCTTTGAAACCAACAATACAAAGTCAGCTCTTCACCACAAGATCACACCACAGGCCACATGAAGAGCAGAACTGGTATTACTGAACAGCTGCTACAGGGAATGTCCACAAATTATTCCCACTTTCTCTCCTGTCTTCGAAAATGAGTACTAGACAACTGTTCAGTAGCTAAGCAGCATGACCTACTCATACATCAACCTGGAAAACTAACAATCCAGTATGGCAACATTTTGTAAATATTAGCATCATTTGGATACTTCCTGATTCCCAATTAATTCAGAAGTTACAGCTAACATTCCTACCAAAAAACAACTCAGCTATCTTTTGCTATCATGTTTTATAGCTCTCTACTTCAGCTGCAGCGTTATTCCTTCCAAAGTGACATTGGCAGCACAGCCTGAGGAACTTGACCAGCTGCAATCTTTGCCATGGAAGCTCAGACTTTCATCTTGAAACAAAGATGTGAGAACATCAATTTTGAGACAAACATTTGAGTTTATGAAACCATTTAAATCACCAGACTATGCAAAAGGCACTAAGATTTTCAGTAGCTGCTAAGTCTCAGCAAGGCACCTTTCTGGAATACTGGTACATTACACCTGTCTGTGTAAAATAAGTCATGTCGCTAACAGCTTCGCCTCACACATGATATCCAGCACGCGCTGACTTGGGCAGTGTCAGCTGCAAGTAACAACGCTGCTGAATAGGTCTAGGATGACTACAACCCACAAAGGAAATACACTGACACTCCACACCACTTAAACATGCCACAGCTGTTCACCTTTTTCTGCTGAGCTGGAATTAGAGCTAAGCCAGGGTCCGTAACTCGTTCCGACGGGAGCAGCTTGGCTCAGCCAGCTGCCCACTCTGCCTGACCTGGGAGAAGCAGAGAGCAGCTCACCCCTTCAGACAGTCACTCTGCAGTCAGAATTTGGTTGCCTCGACACCCAAAACAGGTTAGCCTTTAACTAGAGGTGGTTCTCCTCTCCAGCACGAAGGCAGCTGCTCCATGAGGCGTACTCCATGGGGAGCACAGACTCACCAGCTAGGCAAGTGGGTTTAGTCTTGAAGATTTTTCAAAGAACCATGAGAATACAAGTAAGTCTTGTTACCCTAACAAAGAGAAAGCATTCATCAATGTCTTTAGCACTCAGGCTGGTAGACCACGTAGGTGAAAGGAAAAACATTCTTGCTGAGAGCTGCAGCTGAGGAACAGATGTGTTTGTCTTAGGACTGCTTTCTTCTGCTTGGAAACAGCAGCTAATTGGTGCTGCAGAAAGTGCTTTCAGAGAGTACACGAGTCAGAAGCATTAAAAATACTAAAACAAACTTCCCATCTGTTTTAAGCTCCCTAGAACTTGTGATTAAGATGCCGAGTCAGCATGCTGACTGTGCATACTGCCAGCTGAAGATGAGATGGTTCTGTATCAACATCCTATCACATGCCAAGACAAGCACACTAACTGGAACAGAACCAATGGTCAAATATTCTCTTTTCAGCTCTCCAGTCTTGGTGTTCATGTAATTCAGTCTGAATTACTTAATCTCAGTAAGCAAAGCTAGATACATACCAGATTTCCAAACCAAATATGTTTTTTTGTACCTGGCTTCCTCCAGACAAAGCCTAAATGCCATTATCACTATCATGCTTTCTTCAACCACGAACAATGAGTTCTCTACTGGCTTCAGAGTCCATCCAACCCCAACACAGTACTGCATCTTAAAGCTCATGAAGTTAACATCACACTTAAAAAAAATTAGGAATAAATATCCCACATTCCTCAGTGTTTGCTTCTGGACTTGAGATAACCACAGAACATGTCCAAGCCTCTGTGGTTCTGCAAGGTGCTGACAACAGGGTAACCAACTTCCCAGACGTTTTCAGAGTCTGGGCTGGTGGTGAGAGCTTCAGCCGTATCAGCAATCTGCAGAGACAGGAGACAAACAGCAGCCAAGCTTGCCAGACATACAGCTAGCATCAATGCCCTCCACATGTCCTACAGCTTACTGAAGAAAGGTCTGGGTAGCCTGAAGAGGAACACACCGGTTTTGTCCCTTTAGGTCTACAAGTCAACAAGCAGCGAATTTGCCAGATTAAGCTTCTAGCTGAAAGGAACAGCCAAGGAAGTTAATGCAACTTAACAGGGCAGACCAAACAGTTGACCCTGGATTTGGATACAAGTTATTCCTTCGGCATTGAGCTCTTTCTGGTAGAACTATGCAAGAGCTACAGACCAGTTCCAAGACAGGTTTAGCCAACGGCTAGCTAACATGCTCCTCCTTTCATATTAACTTAATACTGAATGTGGACAGTAAACAAGCTGCTGTAATGGCCATCAGCTACTGCAAGGAATTGCTTTTAAGTAATATTACACTCTGCCTGGTATAAAACCGTTTGCTTAGCCTTACTGACTAGCCTCCCTAAGTTTTATTGATGATGCAATAGATGTGTGCTACCAGAAGTGTCAGAGGCAGGACTGTGCAGAGTTATCACTTGTAACAAGTCCAAGCAGCTCCTACCTCATGGATTAGCCCCTCCTGAAGTCCTTGTATTTGGCTACACTTTGGGCAACGTCCTGCATGCAGAAGAAATCAACTTCAGTATGACTATACATATAAAAGTAGTACTTACAAGCTACTTTTGATATCCCTTTTAGACACTGAGTATTCTGCTTCTTCACTGCTACTTCAAGTGAGCTCGCAGCAATCGTTAAAACTGAAGAACGTAACTTCCCTTTCACCTATCTCTCATCCAGAAGAGTATAAAAACAATCTTCTAAAAAGTGGTTGCTTTGGTTTGGTTGTTGGATTTTAAGTTAGTGATGCAAGAAACTGAGGAAAAAATACGTTTTCTATCTCACACACAGGCTTGAGAAATAGATAAAGACAAATGGGTCAGGGAGAGGGCTTATTTCCTTGTTAGTTCTAGGCTGCTGTCACAGCGAAAATAATTAGAGTCACTTCCAATATATTTAATAGGCTGATCCTAGATCACACTTCCAGGCAGTAATGCTGCACACATCTACGTGCAGTAACAATGTGCCAAACTTTCCAGTAGGCACAGCATTCCCTTATAAAAGGCAAAATAGATTTTTCTACCATGAAATTCACAATCACATACTATAACCACAAAATTGCAAATACAAGCAATATAGATACCTCTCCAAATACATTACACCTTTCTCAATGCTATCTTACAGTATCTTGAAGCCTAAAGACGGTGATTGCAGAACAAAATCTACAGCAATGACTGTTGAAACTGTTAAGAAGTATCAACAGTCACCAACTCATTTGGTCTGTGGTGCTAAATAGAGAAAGGAGGAAACAATTCTTTCCCTAATGATATTTTCAAGCAAATTCATATTCAGTCCCTGAGAGAACATTAAATGTTATGAGCTCTTATGGTTTATGGACAAACCACCAAATGCAATTAAGTTCCTTCATTCCTAGAGAGGAATATGAGCCTCTCCCAGAGGTGGAGAGGCATCATTCATTCAAGTTCACATAAAAGTGACAGAGCTCAAAACTGAAGCTGTTTGAGACTAGGCAGCCTACATCAAACTTGAGTAATATTTTCATTATTGTTAACACACAAAAACACTTGCCTTTGAATGCTCTTCTCAATAAGAAACTACCTGACAAGCTGTCATGGGATCTTTACACTGACACACAGGGTCCAAAAGGCAGACACTTCAACCCAAACACATCCACTCCTGATGAAAGAACCCTGCAAGTGAATTGCTGTAACTGATTTATCACAGAGAAGGGGATCCCACAAGAGACCAAGATACTAATACCTAGACAACAGCTTTATATTACTTTATAATATCTTGTCTTCTGAAGTGGTGATTATGCTTCCCCTTTCAAGGGAAAACGAGATTAATTTTCATGCGCCCAGGAAGCTTGACAGAACAGCTACTTATATGGTAAGTGGTCAAATGGGACAGGCCAGCAGTCCAGCCTGACCACAGCACTATGAAGTGGTGCTCTGTGAGACCTAGTGAGCCTGGCAACATTCTGCCATTTCCCCCATACTCACTCAGTATTCAATGTAACTACAATTAACAGGACTACACACTAATACCTGTTTGCAGGGGCATAAGTTCCTGGAGTTCACCACTGTCCTTGTGAATGTTTTTGTTTTGTTCTTTTTTTTTTTTTTAAACAGGCTGCAGTGTAAACACATTGTTGTGTGAGATAGCACATCCCTCAGAAGTACATTACATGGAGTTGTGACTGCTTCTCAATAGTTGAAGTTAAGATCTAGTTAAGGTCTTCAAACTCCGCTTGAGGGTTGCCTCTGCTACAGCTCTTGCCGTGCTATCAATAAGAAAATTTATCCAGCAGCAGATCCATATGTCAGGAGTTCAAGAAGGTTAAAAAAAGTAAATCCACAAATCCCTGACCACAGTGCTTAAGGACTTACTTAAGGACTTATAATAAAATCAAGAAGAAAATTGCATTCAATTAACTTAATTACAAAATTGTTTAATAAACTAGCATGGACTAGAGCTGTCTGATGTTTGTTAGGATGCTGACTAGATCACAAGAAATCCCAAAGACAAATGCCAACATAAGTCATTAATTCATACGTCCCCATGGCTGAACAAGCACATTTTGCATTGCTGCCATCTGCACTTTTTTTTTTTTAACTGGTAGAGTACAAGCTCCAACAATGAACAAATGAAGGTTGTGTTAAAAAGAAGACCACCAAAGGTTCAGAAGCACAATCTGCTATGCCTATGTAACAGGCCAGAGGACAAACACAATCCCAAGACATGTTACGCAGCAAGACCACATACTGATCACACCTAGACTTTGCAGGTCAAGTTATTGTATCCATTATGATTACCTTTTTTCTACAAGTTCTCCAATAGCAGTTTTGCTTCTTCAAACACAGCTTAACTACTTTAACATTTCAACCCGATCTGGAAGCATTTAGCGAGCTGACTTTTTGAGAATAAATCAGACTGCATGAGCCACACTGCACACGTTTGGGGAAGGTGGTGGGGCTAGATGGCTCTAGCAGCTGGCAGAAGCCAGCATCCCACAACTTCCCTTAAAGCACTCAGTCCTCACGGAGCTGTTTTTATATTCTGGCATCTGTTTTGAATATAAAGGGTAGGTAAGGGCTTTATGAGGGGGGCAAAAAGTGGGGTGTGAGGTGTATGGAAGGGGGAGCCGGGCGATGTTTCTGCCCTATCTAGAAGGGAGCCAAGCTGCACCTACCAGCCCAGGATAGTTTCCTGACGACCCCCCTCGCACCCCCCGCCCCAAACCCTCCGATCCAACCTCCTCCCGAGTCCCGCACCGCCCCCCCAGGGGCAGGCCTCGCCGCCGGGTACGAAGGTCGCGGCGTGGCCCCCGCGGCCGGCCCTGAGGCGGCGCCGTACCGGCTGCGAACCCGTCGGCGGCCTGCAGCGCGGGCGGCACCTCGCCGCTCTCCAGGATGCCGTAGCCCTCGTCGCTCTCGATGCCCGCGATCTCGTTCTCCTGCTGCGCCAGGAAGGCGGCGGCCGGGTCCTCCTCGGCGCCGTCCAGCAGCAGCGTGCCGTTGCCGTTCCCGGCCGCCTGGGCGCCCAGCGCCTCCGCCTCCGACGACGACATTGCTGCGGCGGCGGCGGCGGCGGCGGCAATGGGCTTCCGGCACCGCGCCCCGGCCACTCAGCGGCGCGGAAGGGGCGGGGCCTCCGCCGCAGCCAATGGGAGGGCGGCACCGCCCCGGGGAGGGGCCAATGGGCGGTGAGGCAGGGGGCGGGGCCGGCCGTTGGCGGCCGTTAACGGCCGCCACCGCGGGGGTGGAGGGCTGAGGGGAGCGGCCGTTGGCGCTGGGCTGCCCCTGAGGGGGAGCAGGGGGGTGAGGGGGGGGTCTCCATTGGGATCGCTGCGCCTTTTGCGCTATTTTAAGCGCCCTTTGTAATTCCTGTGTCACGCTGAGGGGAGTTCGGCAGGGGAATAAATAAACAAAAAGGACCCAACAACCACCAGACTGCGAAACACCGCCCGTACAGAGCAGCTTCTCCCCGTTCTGTGCGCTGGGATGAGGCATAAGTCTCATTCCCAAACCGACCGTGCTCTGTTTCACAAGGTGTTTCCAAGCACTTAACCAAAATAAGGGACTACAGTCACTTCTAGCGCTTTAAGGAAATGATTTCAACAGCGTGACGGGATCCCCATTGACTATTCCAGAACAGTTTCGATTTCTGAAATTAAAGATTTGGTAGAACAGACCTCTCCAGCACAGAAAGTGTAAAATTGCAAGTGCTTTCAGCTGCCCGTTAACCCGTTCAGCATGCAGATGAGACAGGCAGCGTCCACTGACATCTGGGCAGGAAGCGGCTCTCAGGGAGCCTCTCCAGCTGCAGCCTCCCTGCTGGGAGCTGGTGGTTCCCGTGATGAGAAGGGCAGGGCACACACACGCTGCCTGGCGTCTGCTCCAAGTCCATTGAAATCAATGAAAAGACTCCCTCGACCTGCTGGTGGCTCGCAACCACCAAGCTACAGACAGGAGTTTGAAAAAAATAATCATTTTTTTCCATTTAAATTAACCTAATCTTTTACAACTAGACTCCTGCGTCTGAAAGGTGACAGCTACTTTGCTTGCTGCACCTCCACAAGTCACAGGAGCCAAGGAGAACGGGCCGGAGAGGCACATGGAGCTGAGAGCATGAGGTGTACTCCATGGGGAGCACTGGCTCGCCAGCCAGGCAAGCAGGCCTGAAGTGTCTCGCCTTTACTTCATATGCACACTGACAGACATGTTGTCGCCTTCTACAAGGCCCCCACAACCAGTGCATGGTATTCAGAAAAAAAACAAATAAGTAGAGTGTAGAGGACAGAGGTTGTCCAGTGCCTAAGGGAAGCTCAGAGCTGTACAAAGATGAACTGTACAGAGAGAGGGACAGACTGTTGAAGCAGAAAAGTCTTATGACAACAGGCAGGGCAGGAGTGGTATAGAAGCCATCTTTGCAATGATGGGCACAAAATGCTTGAAATGATACAACTGACAGATGTAAAACCATGAAATTGAAGTCTGAGGAACATGAGGTTATGAGACCTTGTTTTTAATGGAATGACTGAGGCTAAACAGCCCAGAGAATAGAACGCAATGTAGAGGTTTTTGTAAGGAACGAGACATTAGGAGTTGCTTTTTTGTATCAAAAGAAGTGGCAGATGAATCACAGAATTGTTTAGCTTCAAAGGGACCTCCTGAGGTTGTCTACTCTGACATGCCTGTTCAAGCAGCATCACCAAGAACTCCATCTTCAGGACTGTGTCCAATTGCGGTTTCAGTAGTTCCCCAGATGGAGAATGCAGCCTTTCTGGGAATCTCTTTGATTGTTCGACCATCTTCACAGTAAGAAAGTGTCTTCTTGTGTTTAGATTGAATGCTCTTATATTTTTATGTTTATTTGTGCCTGTTGGTTCCTGTCCTGTCAGTAGGCCCTAGGGAGAAGATCCTGGATGTCCCTTCTCCCTGCAGCCTCATCAGGCTGTCACACACATTGGTAAGATCTCCCTGAACCATCGCTTCTCCAGGCTAAACTGTCCCAGCTCTCACTAGGGCAGGACTGAGGCCCCCAGGCTAAGCTGATGCTGCTGGGCTCCTGGACTCTGACACTAATTAGTATTTCTAAGTTTATTCTCAATGTGGGTTTTTTTTGCATGTCACAAAGGCTTTCTGCACTAGATACCTTTCAAACACTGCTCTGACAACAGATTTCTTAATTGCTCCCCTGTGCCTCTCCTTTGCACCTTTCACAGGGGTGTGGAGGATTTTTGAAGTAATAATTTACTTTTACACACCTCTCAGCAAGGAGAGAGAGAACTACTCCTCCCCTCCCTGTCCTCAATTTACAGAGAGTACACTCACACACACAGGGCAGAACTAAAATACAATGAGATGAGGGTAGAAAGTGTCTATTTATTCCCAATGCCTATTTAGAGATGTCAAAGACTGGTATTTTATGATCATTGTGTAGTTCAGCACACTTCTATTGATTTGTAGCTGCACAAAATCAGCACTTGGATAGACTAAATCATAATGCCTCAAATCACGCAGACACAAAGCGAGGAATTCAAATTTGAAATCTTCTGTGAAAAGCTTAAATTAGTAACTTGCACAGCATCACCCAGCGAATCTTCAGCAAAGGCTGCGGGAATCATCACTGACTCAACGTAGTTTTGTGGTTTAACCCAGCCAGCAGCTAAACACCACACAGCCGTTCGCTCACACTCCCTGCTCCCTTGCTGGGATGGGGGAGAGAAACGGGAAAGTGAAGCCTGTGAGTTGAGATAAAGACAGTTTATTAAGTCAGGAAAATAATAATAGCAATAATAATAATAATAACAGTAATGATGATAATAGTACTACTAATAATAATGGGTACGAAACGAGTGATGCACAATACAATTGCTTACCACCCGCTGACCGATGCCCCACCAATACCAAAGCAGCTGACCCCACTCCCCTGGCTAGCCACCCCTAAATATTACTCAGCATGACCCCATACAGTACGGAATACCCCTTTGGCCAGTTGGGGTCACCTGTCCTGGGTCTGTCCCCTCCCAGCTCTTACTGCACCCCCAGCCTGCCTGCTGGCAGGACAGAGCAAGAAGCTGAAACGTCCTTGGCTTGGTGTAAGCACTGCTCTGCAGCAATTAAAACATCAGCATGTTATCAGCACTCTTCTCATCCTAAGCCAAAACATAGCACCCTACCAGCTACTAGGAGGAAAATTAACTGTCCTAACTGAAACCGGGACACATAGCAACCAGCTTTTCTTTTCCATAAAGCTTTGATCACTCAGCCTCCCATCCTCTAAAACACGTAACATACGGACTTTAGGACAGTCACCTTCACTACAACCGGTACAACATGGGGCAAAGACTCCTTTTGGGGTAGGGTATTTTGCTGACCGTTCTATAGTAAGTATGCTAAAAGAGGCAAAAACAACTGAAAAAAAATCTTAAAACTAGCAGCCCTTATCTTTGGAGTTTTTTATAGCCCTAATCATGTGCTTTGTGTCATTAGCCCCAAGCATGTGCACTGTCGAATCAGAAAGCAGTGTGTCTCAGAGACATGCACAGGGCTGGAACATTTAGACCTCTGCTACTTCAGCACAGGAAATAACTGAAGGAGGAGCAGACAGTTGTGCTGAAGGAGGGAGAAAATATGCTGATGGCACATCTCCGGTTAGATTCAAAGTCTTCACCAGATTGGGATGTGCGCTAGTGGCTCACAGCCTTTCTCCTGTGACATTTTAGGGGAAAAAAAAAAAAAAAAAAAAAAAAAAAAAAAGGATGCTTAACACCATCAGTTCCATATCCTCCAGTATGCCTCTCTCCTGCCTTCTTCTCATGCAGATCCCACATTTCCAGTCCATTTGCCTCACCTCAGTCATCCCACTATGGAAAGGCTCTTCAGTTTCATGACTCAGTCCCTCCAGCTGCTGTTCCCAGCAGCATTTCTCATGGAACCGCTCTCCTTCTATTCAGCCTCCAACTCCTGCACTACTCTGTCCCACACCCTTCAAAGCAACTTCTTGGCCTCCTCAGCTCTTCAGCTTTTCTGCATTCTTCCCAGCTTACTGACCCATTATCAGGCAGTCCTACTCTCTTCTCTCACTGTTCCCTAATTTATCCTTTGTTCTGTTTCTTTGCAGTTTCCACTTCTGTTACCCTTACCGGCTTCTAGTCACAGTTGTTTTGTGCACACTATCCCAGACAATCCCTCCAAATTCTTTATTGAGTCTCAGACTTCCTCTTCTTCATACAGAATCCTAGAACCATAGAATGGTTTGGGTTGGAAGGGACTTTAAAGATCACCTAATTCCAATCTCCTGCCATGGGCAGGGACACCTCCCACCAGACCAGGTTTGACAAAGCCCCATCCAGCCTGGCCTTGAACACCTCCAAGGATGGGGCATCCACAGCTTCTCTGGGCAGCCTGTGCCAGGGCCTCACCGCCCTCTGAGGGAAGAATTCCTTCCTAACATCTAATCTAAATATACCCTCTTTTAGTTTAAAACCATTCCCATCTTGTCCTGTCATTGTCAGCCTGAGCAAAATGTCACTCTCCTTCTTTTTATAAGACCCCTTTAAGTATTGACAAGCTACAATAAAGTCACCCCAGAGCTTCCTCTTTTTCAGTCTGAGCAGCCCTTCCCTGGCTTACAGTCATTTAACATCTACAAAATGTTGTGACACTATACACCCATCATTACTGTACTGTGCTGAGATGCTAGCACGTCTAGACTCATTCAAAATACACAGGCTTGCTTTCAAACTGGCAAGAGAAGAGTGCCCAGAGAAAAATGGAAATGTTCATAATCTTGGGTGGAGTTTGAAGTTTAGATGCTGTGCTGAAATTACAAAAAAAAAAAAAAAAAATCTACAGGGAATGAATTCTTGCTATCACCACAAGTAGGCGTACAGCCTGTGACTATTGTCTGGTGGCCCAACAATAACCACGCTGCTGTTGCCAGTAAGAAACCTAACGCTAGCTTTGCAAGAGCTGGTGAACTCCTAGGCTTGTTGTTAGCTAGTGCGAATTTGCAGTGCAGACTGGAGGTCAGTGCCAGGTGTCTTTTGTTATGATACGGAGTTTAAGCGTGGGATAATTCCAAAGACCTTGAAAATGCACAGGTTGA